GGCCCTCCAGGTACCCCGGCTCCTGCCCGCGCCCCGGGGAGAGCCAGGGAGGGGGGCTGCGGGGCCAGGGGTCGCGGGGACCCAGCGCGCCCCCCGCTGGAAGGGCGGGGTGCTAGGACCCCAGCGCTGCCTGGCGCAACCCGCGAGGCGTGAGCTGGGGGGCGGGGGAGGGGTGTCAGGACCCCTGGGGTTCCGGCGGCACAAATCCCACCGCCTCCTTGGGTGGGGGTGGGGCAGCCGTGGACACCTGTCAGGGACGGGACACGGGCGCCTTGGGGGCCACCTCTCCGCCCCTGAGTCTGAGGGGCTGGGCAGTGGGGTACAGACCCGGCTGCCCTGACTCCCTCCTTTGTCTCTTTCCCTCCGTCTCTGCCATCAGTCTCTCAGCCGCTGCACCTGTAAGATGGTGAGTCTCCTCTGCTCCTTCCCCCAAAAGGCCCAAGCCCCTGGCCAGAGGGAGGGCCCAGAGGGCAGGGTTTGGCACCCAAAAACCTCACCCTGGGGGCTCCCCTGTGCAGACAGCTCAGACCTATGACCAGCGGCCCGCACTGTGGTTGACTCTCCGCTCCGGGTGACATGGGACAAGCAGCTGCTGTGTGCCAGGCACTTCCTCTCTCCCCCACCAGCTCCGGGGATGGGCACTGTTGGTCCCCTTTGGCATTCATTCATTCTGCAACATTCACTGAGCCCCTACTATGCATCTGACACCATTCCAGGTTTGGGGACATAGCAAGGCATGAACAGTCTGGGCTCTCAGGGAACACACACCTTCTTCTTCTTTTTGGAACACACCTTCTAAAAGAAGGCACGAGGCTCAGAATTTGGAACTGGTCAGCCTGGAGTCCAGCCCAGATCTCAAGCACAGGCCTGCCCTCCCGGCCACAGCACACTGTCTTCCCATGACTGAAACCTCACCGGCCTCCTGGGGTGGGACAGGGCAGGTGCCAGGCCCCCACAAGGCCCAAAGAAACCTTGTAACTTACCTAAGGTAGCCCACCCAGGCTGTCCCCCGGAGGACAGGCCCACCTCTGTCCCCACCTGTGGTCACAAAGAGCCTCTGAGCTGCCTCATGTGCGAGTCAGCCAGCCTCAGAGAGGGGCAGGGGTGTAAAATTTCATCCAAAGAAAGCATTTCCATGACTCAGAACATCTGAAAAAAGGGCACGGGCTTTTTCCCCTACCAATGCCTAGCACAGGGCTGGGCACACAGTAGGTCCTCAAGGCCTACTTAGGTGGCAGTGGAAAGATTCACCTACACATTTAGGTCTCAGCAGAGCTCCATGATGGTAGTAGATAGATTACCAAGGCCAGAGAGAAATGAGCAGCTCAAGTGATTGCTTGGTTCATTCGTTCATTTATCCTCAATCAACGTTTATTGAGCAGCTGTGGTGTGCTAGAACTGCTTCGATGAACAAAACAGACCCAAACCTCTGGTCCTGAGAACGAAGCTAGGGCAGACCTTGGTGTGGGATGGGGGGGGGGGGGCAGTGGTCCAGCCAGCAGCACATTGCTTTCTACGCCCAGCCCCCCGGAGCACTGCACTTATGTTTTACAAACCACCTCTACCTACATGTTCCTGGTGACAGGCCTTCATCCCCTAGCCCAACTCCATCCCCTCCTGGTTCCTAGGACAGTGTCTGCCCTGAACATAACCCAAGGTTAGGGGTGTGGAGGGCTTATACCCTTGGGTGACTTAATGTGCCCTTTGCCCACTCTGCCCAAGACCCACCACTTCTGCCCCTCTCAGCTCTCCCTGGATCCGCTGGGTCCCGAGTGGGACTGCCCCCTGGGCTCCAAGGACCTGGAGGAAGAGGAGGGCCCATGGGGAGGAGGCTCTGGCCTGCCGCCCCCAGGCTGCTTCCCTGGCTCCTGGCACCAGGACGTGGGCCTGGACTGCAAGGGCTCCCTCGAGGGGGCGGAGGCCCGGGCCTGGACTGTCTACTACTATAGCCTCCTGCAGAGCTGTCTGCAGCAAGCCGGCCTTCCGGAGACCCAGGACCGCAGCCAGGTCCCCCGCACAGGTGCCCAAGGGCTCCAGGGAGGGGGGAACCCTGGGAGGGGAGGGGGGCACCCTCAGCCCAGCCTGCTTCCCATCCCTGTCAAGGTCAGCCCCTTCCCCCAGGCTCTGGCTGGATCTGGAGCCAGGGAGGCAAGGCCAGTCAACCTCCGGCAGACAAGCATTGTTTCAAAGGGCATCTGGCACCAGTAAAGTCAGAGATCAAGGCTTCCCTCCTGTCCCCAGAAGACCGAGCCGTGGGATTTGTCATCCGTGTTCTGTGGAGCCAGAGCTTCTATAGACGTGTCTTGGGAGCTGCTGTGGAAGCAGCTAACAGTTGGGACCCAAAACTCCTTCCCTATTTTATCTGTTTTATTTTTATTTATTAATTTTTACATCTGTTTTAAAGATTAGGTGGCCACAAAGGTTTTGTGTGGACAGAAGGTTCACAGCCAGAATACATGAAAATCACAGACTGGGAAACTGAGGCACAGGGACTCCCCCCCCACCGCACTGCATGGGGGCCACGGGTCACAGAGAAAGTCAGTGTCAAAGCCCAGGCTAGAACCCAGCTCTCCAGTCACTCAGCCTCCAGTACCTCCCAGGCTAGCTGCAGAGAGGAGGGAGCAGCCTCACCGGGCGGGATGGGCAGGCAGTTTCCCTTTCCCTTTCCAGCGTCTTCTTGTCCTCTCTACCCTTCTCATCCCACACTGGCAAGGACCTGGGGGCCCCTGGGGGGGGGTAGGGCGGGGCTATGGGCAGGGAAGGGTAGGCAGAAAGATAGCAGGGGGAGTCCCTATTGAGCTTGGCAATGTTCTCCCCACCCCCACCCCACCCCCAGGCTGCCCTGGTGCGGAGGTGACCTTATGCGTTCTGGGATCCCCCAGCACCTTTCTGTCCGTGCTGCTGGAGGGTGGGGTCCAGAGCCCGGGTGAGTATGTGCCCAAGTTCCCCCGCCCGCTCCTACAGAAAGGGCAGCCCTGCCCTGGCCCGGCCACATCCCGAAATACCCACTGACTCTGGCAAGTGCCTGCATTCTGCTGGGCCGGCTGCCATGCTCTGAGTGGGGGTGGGTTCTGGGAGCAGCTGCCCCCCCACTACCCAGGGCCCCGGGCTGGAGGCGAAGGACATGGGGGCATTAAGCCTTCCCTGGCCTTCCGTGGCCAGCAACCCTCCTCCCTCTGCCCACAGGAAACATGCTCCTCTGCCTGTCCCCTACTTGGCTGACGAAGGTACCGGCACTTGGGCAGTCGGGCGAGGCGGTCCTGCTGGTGTCCAAGGCTGTGAGCTTCCACCCAGGGGGCCTGACATTCCTGGATGACTTTGTCCCCCCACGCCGAGCCACCTACTTCCTGGCGGGCCTGGGGCTGGGACCTGGCCGGGGTCGAGAGGCAGCTGAACTTGCCCGTGACCTGACCTGTCCCACCGGAGCCTCGGCTGAGCTGGCCCGGCTGCTGGAGGACAGGCTGCTGACAAGGCGACTGCTGGCTCAGCACGGAGGTGTGGCCGTACCAGCTACCCTGGCTTTCACCTATAAGCCCCCGGCACTGCTGCGGGCGGGGGAGGCCGGCCCGGGCCTACGGCTGGTGGAGCTGAGTGGCAAAGAGGACCAGCAGACACTGGTGAAGGAGGAAGTAGGGGCCTTTCTGCACTCCGGGGCCCTGGCTGATGCCCTGCAGGTAACAGGCTCCTGCCTCCGAGGACCCATGCACGGTTACCCAGTCCTGCTGGGAAGTTGTCCCCAACTTGGAGCCCTCCTGCTGGCGTCTCTCTCTGGGGCAATCCCCTCCCTTCTTACCTCCGTTTACACGTCGGATCCTACGGTACCCCACAGGTCCATGGGGTGGTAAGGAGACCCCCTTCCCCTCCCTGCTGCAGGTGGCCGTGAAGCTCAGTGGCTGGCGCTGGCGGGGGCGGCAGGCACTGCGTGTGTACCCTCGAGTGGAGCTGAGCACGGTGGTGGACACGGTGCTGGCGTTGCTGGAGAAACTGGAGGAGGAGGAGAGTGTCCTGGTGGAGGCTGTGTGCCCACCTGCCCGGCTACCCTTCCCAGGTGAGAGCCACCTGGGCCAGCCAGGAGTGGGAGCTTGGCTCGCCCTCCTGGCTGCTCTGTGCCGGGCTCAGGCCTCACCGTCCTTCCCCAGGCAGTCCCCCACCTGGCCCTGAGCTGGCTGTGCGCATCTGTGCTGTGGTATGTCGGACACAGGGTGACAGGCCCCTGCTGAGCAAGGTGAGCGTGGCCCAGGCTTAGGTCCTGGCCCTGTCGCCACACCCCAGCCCAGCCCTAATGAACTGCTGAGGGCCCGGGGCAGAGAGAAGGCATAATCTTTGGGGGGGAATCCTGGTGGCCTCTAGGAGGACTCCTGGGTCTGACGCTTTTTCCCCTCCCTTTCCACCCTTCCTGCCTCAGGAGCTCTGCCTGGTACGGGGTACCAGGGCCCAGGGCTGAATCCTCTTACCCACAGAAGAGGCTGACCCAGGGTCTCTGAACTGCCAGTGTCTGGAGTCCTTTAGGAGGGGCCTCCAAGCCGGGGAACTCAAGGCAGCTTGAGGACCCTCCTGGGAACACAGCTCTGAGCCAACCTGAGGGACAGTCTGTCAACCCTGCCCTCCTGGAGGTCTAGGGTGGCAGAGGCCCCAGGGCCTGCAGGAGCTAGGAGCAAGCGTGCTTGGAGCCTTCAAGGAGCAGAGACCCCGGCTGGGCCTGGAAGCCCGGGTAGAATCCCCTTAGGGTCTAAAGGACCAGAGGGGCAGTGGTGGGGGAAAGTGGTTTGTGCAGCGGAAGTCACAGAGGAGGACTGGGCTACTTGAATGGCTAGTAAGAGGTCTGGCCTGGACCTCGGCACCAGGGTAGGTGTTCAGGGGAAGGGTGTGGGGGGTGGTATTAGTCCTGGGGCGGCTCCTCCTGGGCCAACACCCTCAGCCACACCCTGCCCAGGTGGTGTGCAGCGTGGGCCGTGAGGACCGGCCTCTGCGGCACCAGAGCTCCTTGCCACAGACGCTGGAGGCGGCACTGGCCCGGTGCGGCCTGGGTGAGGCGGGACAGGTGGCGGTCGTGCGACGGCGCGTCAAGGCGGCGGCCGAGGCCGCGCTGGCCGCCGTGCTG